ATTTTATTTTTCATTCTGTTCATCTGTTTTTTCCAGTTTAAAAAATATGAGCTACTGGAGCCTTCATCCCTTGTCTATGTCTTACATTAGATACCAGCCGATACCCCCCCCCCCCGCTCATAGGGAGTGCGTACAGTTGATCATAGTTCCTGGGCTCCCTGTGCTGTTACTAGGCCATATACATGCTGACTTTGGAATGCCTGTCGTGCACTGGTATTATGCCCGCATCATCAATTGTGGTTGACGCCTTGTGCAATAATTGCTGGGGGGGTGCGTGAACTTATAAATTCTGCTACCAAGAAAATGGTGGTGTTATACAACACAGTACTCAGATACAGTATAGTCTCGCCGCGCAAAACGTGCATGCAAACAGCTATTTCATTCTCGGTTGTCCATGTAACGAATAAATCCCAAGGCCAATATATTGTTGATTTTACAGAGGGGGGGCATATCGCCAGGATATTTTCACGAGTACCCTTACTCGTGCAAATGTATTGGGATCATGTCATGTCTTTAATAGGCACTCATAAATTTAAATACTCAGAATTTGTTCATTTTGTAATAAACTGTACTCAAGGGCAATATAAGGATATTGACCTAAAAAAAGTTGGGGTTACGAACCTTTTTTTCAAGACATTAATGGTTGTATTTTAGTGGAAAATCGCTATTTTAACACTATCATAACGCTTTTACCATAGGTTACTATGGCAGAGATATCATGCAATATCTCAAAATCTAGTCTGGTGATATATGCTGAAAATGCTGATGGAGTACTTTTTGTTTTGAGAATTATTTAAAAAATCTGGGTTTCAAAAAATGCAATTTTCTTTAATATTGTGTTCTATGGAATTGTTCTAAAAATAGCAATTTTCAAGAAATATTAGAACACTTTTCTCAAAAAGCTTAACTTTGACACACAAAATAATGCTTTTTCATTGTACCATGAGACATTAGCTTCATGATTGTACATAATAAACTAATGAACATTGTCATGCGATTTATGACCAATTTTGTCAAAAATTATAAGTTGGGCGCGTTCAAATTTCACGTATAATACAAACAAAAAAATTGCTCGCGTTGTAAATGACGCATGGGTCGAGCACGGCGCGGTGATGGCAAGTAATTTATTAGAAACCTGGCGTGATGCAACTTCAGCGTCCGCCAGCCGTATTACTGTTATATCCCATGAAGTTTCGACATATATTATTGACATTAACGCGCCGCATCTGTGGTGACGTCAACTGAGACATTATCATGACATTTAGGATGACACCAAAGTTCGGGTATGTCACACTATCTGAATTGAGGACGATCTTATCTTAGGGTCGGCTGCCGCTAAGTGGTTGACTTTTCCATTGTGTTCACTTCGGCATTATCACTGTATATTTCACCACTGTGTCGCCACGATTTGTGTCAGGTATTCACTCTGACCACATCAATTAGAAGAATTGATTATGGTAGTTTTTGCCCTGGAAAGCGCATAGTTATTATTTGTATACGAACGAGCCACGAATTTTCTATACTGTTTCATGTGGGTTAAGTAAGTTATTCATGTTCCGTTACCTGAGTGGGTACTCACTTTGCAAACAAAGGATATACCGAGCAAATCAAGTACCATCCAGATTGAATCGGTCGAATGAACTGTGGCGTGCTCGAAAAGTGCAAGGCCCACCGATAAACACTCCAACGCTGTACCAAGTTTGGTAAATATACATTGTATGTTACTCAAGGGAGTAGTATTATAGGTAAGTTACAACTAACATATAAGGTTGTTTTTTAATGTAACTATGTAGTATCAATACACAAACCCTCTGACAGGGTGAATGTGGTCCAAGGTAGTGCACCTCTAGTACCATCTACTCGTATTTGACTCTCTTTGTTTATTACTGCTTTAGAAGCATCCCGAAACGTAATTACGACCAAAGCTTTCCATGTCATTCTACTGCTCATGACCATGTTGTATTGTTTTGTCTACGTGTGAACGCCACAAGTTTGGCGTTGGTGTAACCGTGCAGGTAGATTGATAATATTTAAAATTGAGTGAACAAAAATTTATTTTTGTTTTTTGCTATTACTACCCCTGTTTCTGTGTTTTGGTATTCTTGTTTTGACTAGTATTATTTTTTAAATCCGTATTTTGAAAATAGTTTGAAAATGGAATATTTTATCCTCTTGGTGTTCCGAATTAACTGTACTTAAAATAGAACTCGTTGACTATTTTGAAATAACTTTCTGTACTACACGAATGTTTTTCATGGTTGACAAACAATCCCCATGAACAGACTTACAGTTAGATAGTAATTTAAACTTTGAATATTGCCAGGGAATGTTTCACCTTTGTTATCATTAGTCATAATATATATATATATATATATATATATATATATATATATATATATATATATATATATATATATATATATATATATATATATATATATATATATATATATATATATATATATATATATAT